CTCTGTGAGTGTGTGCTTCACCAACACTGGATGTGGGCAAAACGATCACCTACTTGAGAACTGCCAGATCAAGCGACACTATAAATTCATACCATCTAACCTTCCCTGGCCCTTACTTCAGGTCCAGTCCTTTTTTAATTCTTTCCAATGCATTTCCAACAGTTCTGCTGCATCTGTGCAAACATACTCAGCTGTCTTCAAGTTCTCACCCTCCCTCTCATAAATGGTCATCCTACTTTACCAAGACAGCACTGTAGACCACTGAGGCCTTCGAGTGCCCTGTTAACCAAATGGGAAAAAAAATGCATATCTTCACTCATCTTGTCTCCTACTATCTAAAGCAGAGATCCAAAAAAGTAGTTCAAGAGCTGGTCCACTGACATGTTTTGTTCACCACGCAAGGTTGCTTTTTGTTTCCTTTTCTTAGAGTATGTTCTTTTAAAAATGTTAGTGCAAAACTTTTATTGAGATATAATTCATGCCTGGTTTTTAAAACATAAATTAGTTGCCTCTTATATAAAAACAAAAAAGATTTCCCATCATGAAATGCAGACTTCTGGCCTGTCTTGGGTGAAAAGATCAGAGATCACTGAGCATGGGCATCTGCCCTCTTCCACCAGGCACGGGCATCTTGGTTCATCAGTTCCTTCCTACCAACCAGCCCTCTGCAGTCTCCCCATCTGGGACTGGTCCCAGGGTGAAATTCAAATTTGTGGCTCTTTGATCTAAAGGAAGAGTTCTAACTATCTCCAGGGCTGCGATTTCTTGAGTCTCATCCCTCCCCACCACTGCCTGACTCGAGGGATCCCACCCTGCTTTGCATCTTTGCTTTCTTTGTGAATGAGGCAGCATGTGGTCAGTACCTCCACTTCCTCTCTGAAATTCAATCCTCAACCTCCTTCGTTTCCATGATGTCTGCCACCACTCACTTCAGTCCCCTCCCACTGGGCCCCTATGGACAATGCCTGCTTCTGGTTTTTCTCTCACTTTCAGGCATTGCTTCTCTAGCTCTCGTAGTAATGTCACAGCACATAAATTTTGCTAAACATTTACCCCCAATTTTTGTACGTCTGTCATCACAAACCAGCAATGGACCATACTAGGAAACACAAACCTAGCTAGAGAAACACTGATGATGGAGGCATTTCTTAGAAATGTAAATCTGAGGCATCACTCCTGTTCTTAAAACCCTTCCATGATTCTCCACTGCGTGCCTGCTTGGTAAAATCCATGTTCTTTAGCAGGTCCCCCATGCTTGTGACCTAATAGCTTTCCTCCGTTCTTCTCCTACACTTGAGGAATCCACGAAAAAATGGCACTATTATGTGTGCCCACGATTTTGTACATGCTCTTCCATCTGGAACACTCTCATTCATCCTTCAGTGCCCCGATGGGCAGAGTAACCCTCTCCTGTATTACTGTAACATCTTGCACATACTTCAACTGTTAATTGTTCTTTCCACCTTTGTCTCCCATACTAGGCTGGGGGTTCCTTGAGGTCAAGAGGAAGCAGGTGGTGTACTTTCTGGCACATAAGTTTTCTTTAAGTGTTGGCTGCCTGGCCCCACCAACCAACAGGTCAAACAACATATGCACCATCCTTCCTGACACTAGGGCTTAAAACTGCTCCCTCAATCCCCACATCCACTCAGTTGCCAAGACCCAGTGAAAACCTTGTCACCCCACCCATGTCCAGCTCTAATTTGCAACAATATCCCTTCCACATTTGGGTCTTCTTACCTCCAAACAGTTTCAGGTAAATCCTTCCTCTCCCCAAATCCTCACTGACTCCCTACCAAATAAGGCCCAATGGTCTTAGCCTGGAACTTGGGTCCCAGGAAAATTCTTCTCTCACAAGGTACTCTGACACTTCCTACAAACACATTCCACATTTTTCTGGCTTCTAGGCCTGTGCCTGCAACCACCTTCACGTGGGAATCTTCCTGACTCTTCAAAGCCTAGCTCAAGTTGGTCTCCACCAACAAATTTCCCCTCTGACAAAAGTGGCACTCTTATAGAGTGTGCCTTTATAAAAAACTTCCCAGGACATTATGACTTTCCACCAGTAACCTCTTACCCCTCTTCAGCTAACACAGCCCTAACTAACTAAACTTCCACATTCTTCTCCACTCTAGCATTTGCTAAAGGGTAGTGAATTAACATTTTTAAGGCAGGAAAACAACATCAACCATTTGATGGGACCCAGAAAGTTGCCCACCAATCAGAGACTCTACCAGCCAGTTAAAAAAAAATTCTTTACTCTAAATCTTCCTTCTTCCAAACTTTCTTCTTCACAGCTTAATTTAAAACGTAGATACTCAAGTTGTTTCCTTTTTCTTAATTTTTTAAGATCAAGTTAACGGTTTTCTCTTCCTCAAAAGAATGTAAAACAAACTCCAAAATGAATTAATGAGAACAAAAAGCCTTTGAGTATGGCATTCAACTCTTACCCATGAATTTCAAGGGAACAAAAAGGATTTCTTACAAGTGGGGGGGTTAGATTATGAGTAACAGATCACAAAGACAAATGGGCAGGTGACACATACTACCAAGATACTGTAAGACACACCTTTTCCAATCAGCTTATACTGAACTGCACAGCAGAGACAGATAAAAGAACTGGAGTTGGGAGGGTCCAGCAGGGTTTTTCTGTACAGCAAAAGAAGTACTTTTGATGCTTGCAGTGAGCCTTGAGTAAAGCTGAACTGGGAGGAGGCAGGGCACACAGTAAATGCAATGAGACTCATCAGACTACAGTGAAGATGTAAGCTAAAAGCTGCTAAGACAGAGAACTGAGAAAATAAAGTGGGGTTAGATTAATAAGTGTTTTGTAAATCAGAGGACTTTGGAATGAATGGGATAGGCAACAGGAGGCTCTAGTAGGTTCCAGGGCAGGAAAATGACTTTTTATGGATTAGTCTAATGCAAGTTGCACCAGGTAGGGAGGAATGGAGTGAAGGCAATGAAGTAAGGGAGAGGGCACATACCAAGAATGAAGGTCTTAACTGCTGCAAAAGTAATGGAAGAGAAAGGAATGAATGTATGTAAGGGATTTTCAGAAGCTGTAATAGGACTTTGTCCTGTCAAACTTTTTAGCCCTCAGGAGGTAGAAGAAATTTAATAGCTAGGGAGAGAACAAGGAGGGGACAGGGCAGGAGTCAGACCAGTTGTCTGAAATCAACTGGTTTAGAACATCAAGAACAGGAAAGCAAACTTGACTCAAAATCTGCAATGTCAAATTGTGAAGAATCAAACAGTTAAGTGTCTTATGTCCTCTAGACATGTTAAAAGCAAGCATCGAAATTTTTTTTTAATCTAAGAAAGTCAAGAGTTACAGCGAATCAGATTCAAGGGCACTGTGAAATTTCTGAAGTAGAATGCCAAAAAAGGATTCCTCTCCCCCAACCTCCCCTCTCAGAGTGCTCATCACTTGGGAGATAGGTATCAAGAACAAGGTCTCTAGAAACTAACTCCCTAGGTCTGAATCCTGGCTCTCCCACTTAACTCGATGGGAAAACCTGGCTCCCTCGCGGGGAGGGAGTAGCTGCTTGGGGAGGGAAGGGAGTAGCTGAAGGTGTCTGAAGTAGGTATACGTCTGAAATGCTGATTCTGAAATGCTGATTTAGAGAGAAGGTGAGTCACCTCTTTGAGAGTTTCAGTTTCTCCAGCTGTTAATTCAAACACAGGAAGATAATAAAACCTATCTCACTGGATTTTTTAAAGGACTGTATTACTCAATCCTGAAATGTTTAACATAACGTCTAATGTGCTTTAACCATTCAACAAATGTTAGTTGGACACAAAATCAGCACAAGGAATAGTGCTATTTTTAACACTACGATTAAACGTCCCTATCTCTTCTTGATAGTCTCTGAGTATTGTACTACTATCATGGTTTTGTCAGATTCTCAAAGGGGACTGCCATCCCCGAAAGGTTCAGAACCCCTGCAGCGGAGACCTCGGAAGAGAAAAGTGGCTGAGGTGGTGGGCCAGGAGGCTGCGGGCCCAGCCACCAGGCCCTGCGCACTAGCCCGCGGGCTGGGGGGGAAAGATAACAACAGGCAGCACTCTCGGCGCCTTCACTCGGTGCCAGCCTCGGTGCCGCGCACTTTACACACACAACCTGCGCGAATCCCCGCAACGGCCCTCCGAGGCAGGGGCTTTGATCAGCGCCACTTCACAAATGGGGAAACTGAGGCGCCCGGGATGAAACAGCTAGCCCAAGGTCACAACGCTCGAGAGCTGAGAACGCAGG